TACCCAGTAGTGCAATTGCTGTTTGTTTGTTTTTTTAAATTTTTACTTATTTATTTGAGAGAGTGAGTGAGCTCAAGAGACCATGGGCAGGGGGGCGGGGCAAAGGGAGAAGCAGACTCCCCGCTGAGCAGGGAGCCCGATGCGGGACTCGATCCCGGGACCCCGGGATCATGACCTGAGCCGAAGGCAGATGCTTAACAACTAAGCCACCCAGGGGCCCCTAGAAGTTGGTTTTTAAAGCATTACATAGCACTTTAAAAAAAATGCCTTAGTTTTGGGGCTCCTGGCTGGCTCAGTTGGTGGAGCATGCGACTCTTGATCTCAGGGTTGTGAGCTCGAGCCTCACGTTGGGTGTAGAGACAGCATGCATACTTATGCACATGTATAAACACACAAATAGACACACAGACACACACTTTACTTTTTTATTTTGTGGTCAAGAAAGGATCTGAAGGAAACAACTGTGTGGCTTACCCTATTCCCCACCGCCTGTCTGCATGCTGGCTACGTTCACCATGTGTTGACTTTCACTCTTTGTTTCTTGGTGTGGCTTGCTTGTTTGTTTGTTTGAAGATCCACTCCATCCCCACATTCAAGATCAGAAAGATCCCTGACTGCTTCTCAAGATCCTGAACATTCCTTGACGGAATATATTCATCATTTAGAAATGATCCAGCAAAGACTGGGCGGAGCGCCTCCAGGTAACAAAAGTTCTTCTCTGTTTTTTACAACAATACGCTGCACACAGGGAACGTAGAGCAACACCGCAAAGCCTGTAGCGTTCGGCTGAGTGTTGTTAGTATCAGTCTTCATAACCAGCTGTCAGCAGCAGCATCAGAAGGACGCGTCCTTAGCAGGAAGCCGTGGGGACCGTGGGTTCATCCCTCGTTGGGCCTGTGGTTCAGCTCCCTTCCCTCGGGCACACAGGGCACAAAGACCACGGTCCAGCCAGCACGTAATCTGTCTGGGGCTTCTTTACCATCACAGTTTAAACCATTGAATACCTTAATGGTCATTTTTACCAGAAATGAGATTAATTCAGTGACACTGTTTCAAAATTTTGAAATTCTTCTTAAAAGACACATGAAGACCTCTAACGAATTGCTGTGTCATTTTTATTTATTTTTAGATTCCGCTTCAAAGAAATCCTGCCGCCAGAAGATTACACAATGAATAAAATCCTTGTGGCTCTTACCTGTGACAGTTCTATCTGAGGGAAAGATTTGTTTTTTCCCTTTCTCCATGGAAGGCTCGTGGCATGGCGTGGCAGGCAGCGCCCAGTCTCCTTGCGAGCCCGAGGTGCCAGCCCCCGAGTGCCGCTCATTAAGCATTCTCCTCTTTTTGCAATGCTACAAAGCCAAATGGAGTATCTTCTGTAACTTCTGTGTGTTTTAGCTCCTTCCTTCACAAGGTGACGTGTGCGCTCGTGCGTGACGGGCGCCTGCCCAGCTCCGTGCGTGTGGCCGAGCTGCCCTGCTCGCCTCCAAGAAGTGAGCAGAGACTGGCTTCCCTGTTGTTTATTTTCTTAAAGTGTATAGATGGGAACTTGGTTTAAAAACAAAAACACACCAAAAAGAAAAAGAATAAAATCACAGCACTATTTTATTTGTGAATGGCCCTTGTGTTGTTTTTTAGTTTTATCCAATTTGCTTCATCGTTGGCGAAAAACCAAAACAGACCTAGAATTTATGTTGAACTGAACGTCAAAGTTTTCTGTGGAACGCAAAGGCCTCTTCGCCCTGTAAAGACCGAAAGGTGGCCACTTGCCTCGGTCTTCGTTGGTTTCTAAGTATTTCCATGTGGTTTTAGCACCTTTGGACGCCGGGCGTAGGTGTTAATATAAAACACCTTTTTCCAGACGACTGCTTATTTCCATGGTAGATTTTCCTTGTAGCACTGGTCTGCATTTTCTGTGTGTCAGCGAACGTGACTGTCGGGCCAGTTTTCTAGTGTTTGCCCTGCTCTGCCGAGCTGTGTGCTCGGCCGCTTGCTTTCACGGCGTCCGGGATCGCTACCAGCCCCCCGGGGGGAGGAGCCCCAGCAGGGTCTCTTCAGTTTCCCGTCCAGAAGGAGAGTGACTGTGGTAGGTAAGTTATCACATACTGAAGAATTACCCACGTGGGAGGGCGCCTGTGGAGCCACCAGCAGAAGGGACCATTGTACCAGCTCCGTACCCGTGGGAGTTCATCCCCATCATCACCCAGCTGCTGTGGGGGAACTGCAGGTATCCTCCCAGGCAAGGGAACATTCTTGGTCACGGAAAAGTGCTGGCTCATTACTAGGGAGGGGGGACGATCCAGTTAGAGAACCGCCATTCTGCAGCCCCCAGCGGCGTCCTCCGTTGGCGTCCTAAAAGCACCTCCCGGACGAGCAGGCGGCCTGGCGTTTGGGCCTCGGGGGGTGATTCTTTGTGGGCTGCACAGTGTCTCCGGTGGCTGCCCCCGGCTTGGAGGAGCAAAGTGCATGAGACTGTGAGGAAGAGGATAGATGCAGGACACTGTGTAAGTGATTCACCCGGTCTCGTCAGGTTGGCTACACCGATGGGAAAACAAACGTGAGGACCTGTTCGCTCAAGGAGACAGAACCCAGTGTAGTGGTGAAGCTTAGTCCTTAAGTTGAGGGACAGCAGCTGTGAAGATAGTTTTGGGGGCCACTGGGGGTACACCTGAATCTGTGCTGGGTAATAGATTTCAAGGGAGTTGATTGTAAATCTTGGGTGTGCTGACAGGTAACAGAATGCTGCTTTCTTAGGCTTTATACACAGAATTACTAAGAATAAGGAGCCACATCAGGGAAATACAAATCAAAACCTCGATGAGATACCCCCTCACACCAGTCAGAGTGGCTAAAATCAACAAGACAAACAACAGATGTTGGCGAGGATACAGAGAAAGGAGAACCCTCCTAAATTGTTGGTGGGAATGCAAACTGGTGCAGCCACTCTGGAAAACAGTACGGAGGGTCCTCAAGAAGTTGAAAATTGAGCTACCCTACGACCCAGCAATTGCACTCCTGGGT